GTCCTGGGATCGAGCCCCGCATTGGGCTCCCTGCTCCGCGGGAAGCCTGCTTCTCCCTCTCCCACTCCCCCTGCTTGTGTTCCCTCTCTTGCTGTGTCTGTCAAATAAATAAAATCTTAAAAAAAAAAGACCAAGAAATCCAAATCCAACTGTGTATCAGAAGCTAGAAACTTGACCTCAATATCTTGATCAGCATCTAATGGAAATTACTGAGATAAAAACATACATATCAGTGACCAGTGATTCCTATAAGATGACAGAGAAGCATTAAGAAACAACTTACTGGGGAAGAAAAGAATACATGAAGGAATCTCTTTAATCTGATCTCTCTGCTCACAGCATCCTTTTCACTTTTAGATGTCAAATAAAGCAACAGCTGCTTCACGAATCCACTATGTTGGATTTCAAATGATGAAACATCGGACTCTGAGACTATGCTACGGATTTCTACAAGGCACTCAGCTCCACCATCCACCTGGAAAGAGTTGGGAACAGTATTTCTATATTGATTTAAACAGTAATTACTAAATGCACAGTTCACATTTCCCCAACAGGAATTGAATATATTCTCAACATCTTTAAAAAAGAAGGCGGGGGGAGTGATACATTCTTGGTAGAAACTTGGAAACTATGATCTTACACGCATAGTCAAAAATGTTAGTATTTCATGGAAGAAAACCAGCATCCATACTACTAACATAAAAAAGAAAAGTCTCACAACCAACGTTGAATAAAGAAATAAAGAAATAATAAATAAAAGAGGATAAATAAATAAAGAGACAATGAATTGAGAATACAAATTGAGGGGTAAAGAGCTAGAATACCAGAATGAGAAGATAAAACAAGAATATAAAGTGTGGCTTTAAATTAATACATTTAAAACCTGGATGAAATGGACAATTTCCTGGAAAACATGTACTACTCGAATTGCTCAAAGTGCATTAAAAATGTAAAAAGGCTAAGAATCAGATGAAATATAAAGGGCTTATTCAATCTCCCTCTCCAAGTACTATCAGATCCACGCGGTGAGGGGTTAGGGAGGGTCCGTCACATCAGCTCCAATACCCATGTTGAAAGGTACTTGGGGGACATTTCTCAAGTCTCTTTTTTTGTCAAGAAATATGGGATGTGACAGATCGCCTGGGTGGCTCACTCAGCTGAGCGTCCAACTCCTGATGTGGGCTCACAGTATGATCTCGGGGTCGTGAGGTCGAGCGGAGTCGGCTTGAGATTCTCTCCCTCCTGCTCTGCCCCTTCCGCCACTCACATGCATGCACTCTCTAAATAAACTCTTTAAAAAATATATATATATGGGATGAGAAGAGAAGAAAGTCAAAGCTGAGATTCCCAGTATAGTTAATGATAAAATAATGAAGCACGAAAGTCAAGGGACTAGTTACAGAAATGTCAGTGTTAAAGGCACACGTCTGGCGAGAAAGTTGATCTAGGACAGCAAGTCATGGAAAGTCAGAGTCATCAAGGGAAGGACAGCAAGACAGGAGAGATGCTGGAAGAGATGACGAAGGACCAACACGGTGCAGCCCACATGGTACCTGGAGGTTGAGTTGTTCAGTTGCAGCACAAAGTCTCTGAAGGACATTCAGTGCAGGGTTGCTTCCATCCATGTTCTCAGAACTGAAGTAACGCTCTACAAACTTATGCGCCTGTTCCTTAATCCAACCTTTAATTTTTTCTCTGCAAGAAGGAAAACCAAGATATTAAATTTAGTCTTCGTGTATAGGAAGGATTTCAATTATAACTGCACATCAAAGGCAAATAGCTGCTACATTTAAAACCCTTTTTCACCTATGCTTCTAGATTAATAAATTCAGATGAACCAAATTAAGTGTCATTTTGAAAATGGGCTAAGGTGCAGTAGAGAAATGCACATGTACTTAAAATATAATTCAGATCATTACATGAAGAATATACAAAACGTTCTAACTTCTTGGAACTCTACCAGGCAATCATTTCTTCCCTAAGTATTTGCCTGAAAGCAACTTTACATAGCTGCTTCATTAGGTACAGACATATCTGCTTTGTCCTTTATTGTGTTCCTTGGAGAGCTGAAGCAAAAACTATAGACCAGAAACATGCACCTGTTAGATGCGCGATTAACTGAGACCTGGCTATTTAAATTACAAACTCTGATGGCTTTAGATATATATTTGCTTAATTATTTTTTATTAACCAAAATTCGGAAAAACAACCAACCAACCAAACCAATCCACTAAAAAAAGGAGCCTGTTTCTTTACCCAGTGGCATTTGATTTTTAAACATTTATTTGCAGAGAAGTATTCCTTGTTGGTATGTTATATCCAGAGTCAAAAAAACTAAATAAAACAACTCGGAAGGGTTTTAAAGAAACAATTTTTTAAAGCCAGAGACTGGGGCGGGGGGGGAGCCAGACTAGTATGTGGAAAAGTTTAGCTGATACAGTTCTAAATATCTGAGAACAAACAAACAAGCGTCTACTCTAGGATCCTTAAGTTCCACTGTAAAGAGTAGAGGAAGGAAAAGTATCTTTATAAAAGTGGGTGAATGTCTGTGTGTGCGCACAGAAAATGTCAGCTTTCGCTTGTCTAGAACAAAACTAAGGAACAGGTTCCACAGGGAACATAATTTATTTGGTTTTGAACATTTGTTAACTCCCAACCAGAAATGTTGAAATAGATTTTAAGATGTTAAGACTGGAATTTAGGACAAAGCCAGGCAGAGTTCAAGAAATGAGAATCTGCTCCATCCTTGAGCCATGCCACTTCTCAGCATAAATTAAAAGGTCTGGGTCCATGTTTCATCTCCACAAAGTAAACGTGCTGACGGCAAAAACGTAGAGTTTTGCTAATCTGAGAATGAAAGTAATAGAGAATTCCCCCACTTCACCTATTATTGGATATGGTGTCCTTTGAGGCGGCCCTGGCAAGACCACTAACTCCCGCAGTTCGTGCTGGTTCAATGTTGTTGCTGTTGGACTGTGCACTTAACCGTCCCCACGTTTTTGGGTTCAAGCTTGCCAGGAAAGAAGACTTAGGTGACTGAGTAGTGGTAGGGCTTTTAGCTATGAAAAGAAACGGGAATGACAGTTAAGTCATCTTAGCGTAATTGATGAAAATCAACCGAATTTTAACATTGCTGTTGACATTACTAGATGAATTTGCTGAAACAACTAAGAACACTGAGTGTTCAGGAAACTAAGGTGTGCTTAAAGCTGTCAACCATTTTCAGAAGTACATGCCTCTCACTGCTACCGTCTTTCCCTCTGCACCCCACCACATCACCAAAGCAATTACCTTGATTGTCTACTTTGTCATCATCTCTTGGAGGTGAATACTTTGGCCTTCTTGGACCTCGTTTTGGCAGCCGTTTTCTCTTTAGAACATCACTTAATCGACTATCACATGGGAAAAGATGGGATAAATTTAGCAATTACCACGATTTATTAGCATCATTCACTGAAAAGCAAGCTAAAACGGCAGAAACAAGGACTTGTAAAATATGGCCATAAAAGGGTATTCTTCATTTTGTGATTACTTATTTAATGCAGACTCTGCACCAATCATGTTCTAGAGGTCTAGAGACACAGAAAATGATTAATCCAGAAAACACCTTATTAACACTACACTGAACTACTAAAAGTAAAACCAAATAGAGTATCTGATTAATCCTGTGTTAAAACTTTGATTATAAAATGTACACATACAGAAAAGTACATACAACAAATCTTTGATGCGAAGAAGCAATATTAAAAAGAACTGTGCTATCTAACTAGAAAAAGAATGTTAAATCTGATGACCGTATTTCTTCCCTAGCTTAAATGACAAAAAGTAAAATATACAGGACATCGAGTGTTACCAAGATACTTTCCCGATACTACCCAAAGTACTTTCACGGTATGTAATTACAATAACATCCTAACTGAATGTATTTATAAATAGTTTAGTGATTTTTTTTTTTAAACTCAAAATTACCTATAAACAAATCTATCAACTCATAGTATGAATAACCTATTTTGAGTTACAATACCTAAAATAGAACATACACAGACTTTGTATCTTATTTTCAATATTCTTAACAACAGTAGAAACAGTTTGAAATATCAGGAGATTCTTAGAATAACAAAACTACTTAAGATGGAAATGATGGAAAAAAAGTTCGGGCTCCTGGGTGGCACAGTCAGTTGAGTGTCCAACTCTTGGGTTTCGGCTTAGGTCGTGATCTTGAGCCCCGCGCTGGGCTCCACGCTCAGCATGGAGTCGGTTTGAATTTCTCTCTCCCTCTCCCTCTGCTCCAATCCCCCCCACGCTAGCACGCTCTCTCTAAAATAAATCAGTCTTTAAAAACAAAAAGTTCTGTTTCAACTGGTCTGCAAACCAAATAAAATTAGAACCCCCCCCCAAAAAAAACACTCAACAACTTTTAAAGTCTTCCAAAAGCTGGTATGTCTATTAAAAACACTTAGTACTATGTTTAAATATGCTTCACAATTAAGACAAGTGAACTTTTTTCTTTCAACACTTATTTACTTTAAAGAGAATAAAAGTAGGGGGGAGGGGCAGGGTAGAGGGAGAGAGAGAAAATATTCAAGCAGATTCTGCGCTGAGCTTGGAACCTGACATGGGGTTCCATCTCGTGGCCCTGAGAACATGACCTGAGCCAAAACCAAGAGTTGGACGCTTGAACAAATAAGTCACCCAGGAGCCCCATGGACAAATGAACTTTCAAACATGACTGAACAATTCCCCCTTCACAAATTTATATGAACTTTTATTTGAAACCATACTGGAAAGGAATGGAACCACTTAAATCTCTGAAAGTTTCTTTCCTCATCTTTTAGAATTTCTAACTGTTAGAAACTATAAATCAAGTCTAATTCCTTTAAGTGGCTCAGAAATACTGCATGTCTGAGTTGCATCACATTTCACCAAGCACCTGATGTCTCGGGCACCATGCCTCTGCTAGATAGTGAAACCCTGCAGTAATTTAAGTTGCTACAACAGCCAAGGGGAAGGATTAGGGCTGGAGAGGAAGGAAAAAGAGAGGCAGGCAAGGCTGTGAGGGAAAACTGGCCAACAAATCCAACTTGAGAAGAGAGAAGGTCAAGGGTCCCCATTATATTCTCCAGGCTCAATCCCATTGGACTGGGCCCATGATATAGGTACCACCCAAACTAAGCACCTTCCTAAAATAAAAGCCACTGTGACAGAAGTCCCAATCTGTAGCCCAAGTCCCAGAATTGCCAAAATTCATATTTAAGCTAGAACGGACAACTGCCAGCAGGTGGCACCAAAAGGAGCTGGGACCCTGAGCGAGATCAATTCTTAGGACAATGACACCTTGTAGTTTACAGGATTAAATGTTTGGACCTCACTTATTAGTAAGTATAGTATGTTTTACCAAAATCATATTATAGCTTAAAAGGAGCAGAAAGGAGTATTCTACTAAGTACACTTTGAATTTCAGAACTGAATCTGTTGATCACGCACCAGTCATACAGCAGTATTAAGTTTCTAATGTCAAAGAAACAAAAACACCTTGAGTGAGCGTAATTTGTTTCAACACAACAAAATGAAACCTAATATGAGGGTTTGGTAATGTTCTCAGAAGCACAGTACAACAAAGGGATTAGAACAGATAAGGAGGTGGAAGCAGACATATTTAAGAACTCCCACTTTCTTTTATTGAGAGCAAAGTTCCCATTTGCCAAGTAAGAATTAATGGGAAATCAGGTTTTTTCCTGTACATTCCAAAAATTCTAGTGTTTAATATTTCTCACTATGTCACGATCTGGATGTCTTGAAGCTGGTATGTATGCAACAGTGCAGTAAATAATCACAAAACTATGGAATTAGAAATGAGGGTTCAAATCCTACATCTGTAAAATAAGTGTGTGACCCTGTGCTCATCATTAACTTAATTAGTTCACTCAGAAAGTTCACTGAGCCTCAGTTCCCTGAGAGGACACTGGAAATACTTCGTGTCTCTTGTGGTTCCTAAACACGGCTCAATCCAGTGGCTTTCCAATAAATGTCAGTCTCTTCCCATTCCCATTAAACATCGAACAAAACAGAGATGGGGAAAAAAACAAAGGGTCCTCTCTTTAATATTTGACCACTTTACATTTTATTCCCTGTGTGAATCTCAGGTACCAGGACACAGGTAAAGGCAAAGAGCATGAAAATCAGCACAAAACTCTGACTTACCCTTGAGGGCTCAGATCTAAAGAATCATCTCTGCTGTGCTGCAAGCTGGGGGACCCCAAGTCAGCCGCAGCGTTAGTGGCGGCCGTGGCTGTTCCGCTGCTGACTGACGTCGTGGACCCCAAGGATCCCGACCCATTCGTACATGCCTTTGGTGGACTTGTCAACAAAGACTCTGATTCTGCTAAGTGTTTTACTTGATGCATTACACCTATATAGTAACAGATTTAAGAGTCAGTTTTAACCAAGACCACCTCCCCAGGATTACAGAATCTCTAAACACTAACACTGATTTACAGGGAATGAATTAAAAGTATCTGGCAAATGGGGGTTGGGAGGGGAGGGGAGGAGAGGGGAGGGGACGGATGGAGCATGATGACTTAGGTGCCAGGGTTTTCGACTTGACTCCATTCTGGAAGGTAGGAGGCAAATTCAACATTAAAGAAAGAGGTTTATATATATGTCTTCAGATATTCAAAACCTGATAACAGGAAATTTAACAGGGTCACACGTAAAGTTCTACTGGAAATTTGAAATACCATTATAAAAACAATGAACTACAAAAACGCAGTAGCGCACCTGTGGCTTGATAGCCAGGAAAGAAAGACTCGCCACAGTTATTAGCTAACTTCAAATGCTACAATGAGTAAGATCACAATAATACCACTGCCAAAAGAGAACACCAGCAATCCAAGGATGGTGATTTTTCACATCCTTGGAGGTGTATAAAGAGAGCTAAATAGTAGCTTACAAGGCAGGGGTTCATATCTGGGCTAGAATCACAGGAGAATGTACATGGTGGGGGGTGGTGGTGGGGAGTGTGGGGTAGTTGTATGCCGAGGTCTGTGTCCAAATGTATGAATCCATGTTCACACATTCACATTTTTTTCTGGGAAACAGTCCAGAGTTTTCCATCAGAATTCTCAAAACAAACTAACAAACACAAAAACACACAAAAAAACCCACAAGATGTTTGAATGAACTCAAAGTTGAGGCACTGACATTCCACAAATATTATCTGCAGCAATCACATGCCAGACTGTGTGTTAGGTACTAATAATATGGCCATGGATGAGAAAAATGGACTCAGGGCAGTTACTGGGGAGAAAAAAAAATTATAAGAAATTACAAACAAAAGAGTAAACTGCTCCTTACAGAGAAAATAAGTTCTGATAGAGCACACAGCAATTAGGACCTAACAGATTCTAGAAGGAAGGCAAGGTCCTCAGGAATAAATGACATTTAACTGGAACATGAAAGAACAGTATACCTAGCCAGATGCAAAGTAGTAGAACTAATCAAAACTCCTCCATAAACTTCATACTGTATATACTATATAAATTTTGGGGGCTGGAAAATTCAATCTGATGGCATAGTGATACTATAAATGTAAAAAGAAAAAAAAAAAATCACTTTGAGAAAAAGACATTCTGATACACTTCCAAATCAGAAAGGTGAAATAGATCAGAAAGGCAGAACAACTACAACAGAACATCAAAACCAAAACACAGAATGCAAGTTACAAAATAATCCAAGGCTAAAAAGAACACATACCAAATACTTATGTGATCACAGAATTATCTATTCATAAATGCACCCCATTTGTTAACCATAGTTATAAAGTTTGCCTTCTATTTCATATAAATATGTAGTGTTGGGGTTAAAAAAAACCTGTTATTTAAATAGAACTAGTAAGAAATAGTGAAAACCTCTTCCCATTTAATACTCTTACACTAGCATGACTACAGCACTCTCAAGATGTGAAGAGAGGCAGATCCAGCATAAGGCGATGAAAGACGGGGAAATAGATCATATACAGAAAGAACTAGGATTGTTGATAAGATGGAAGATGAAGCTAAGGATTACTTGAGGATAAAATACCATTATTTCCTGTGCCCTCACACAAGACCAAAGTATCCTCAAAGACCAAAAGAGCCATAAAGAGATTTGTTGATGAGAAAGAACTCCTTTAATATCTTGGCATGTTTGAAAAGGATAAAACACCCGAATGAGCAATACGGTTTCATCTTTGTGATCTTCAAAAAGAGAATGGAAAAGTACTATGTCTCCTAGACTGATTTTCATGTTTAAATTCCTCAAATTAGGGGACTAAACCCAATGAAGTAAGTAATAATTCCTTTTACAAGTGTTCTGATCTACTAATGGGATTCATTGGGAAAGAAAGTGAACTCTGACTTTTTCAAGACATCTTTATGGGCGGTTGCACATTATCTATATGAAAAGAAACGTCAGTGCTTGCTTCTGGCCCATAAACACTCAGATAACCGAAATGTAACTAAGTTTTTATCACCTGACCGTTAATCTCACACAACCCATATTAACAGATTTTACGAAAGACATACTCTATATGTACGTGAGTTATAAGCATGAAAATTCCTTATATAAAAGTTTAATTTTTGTTCTAAATTAAAGCTATATGACTACTGAAATACTATGTAGACTAAAAGATTAACCATTAATTAATTATCGTGAATGACATTACCTTCTCTTCTGAAGTAAACACTAAAAATATCAGGTAACTTCTGCATTAAGATTTCTGCCATCTGAAGTGCTCCAACTACTATCTTCAGGTCTTGGCTTGACAGCATGGAAGCAATGTGACTAAAAAAAGAAAGCATTCGTATATAAAACATCTGTCTGAATTTGAGAATTATTTTTGGCCATACTACTTTAATTTTGAGAGCAAAATATTTTAATTGTGAAAACAACCGAAAATTTTCTTAAATGCTTAACTTTTGCATTTGTCTTTCTCAAAGGTGTGTATGACTATAAAGAGACAACAAAGGCCTCGAGACATTACAAATAAACTGTTTTATGCACTTTTCCTGTATTATTACTTTAAAGACTGCTGAGATTACTTGCAGAGACTTGAATTTCTAAAATGTTTTCACTATTTTCATGAACACACCTTGAAACAGCATGATTTTTCAGGACATCCTTCAGAAGTTCAGCATCCGCAAAATAAATTATCCTAAGAATTGCTCTAAGGCACTTATGTCTGACCGCAGGTCCTGCTGAGGAACTATACACTTCATAAAGAACACCAAATAATGTCTTAATAAAAGACTTAGCCAGTTCCGGATCCTCTTTCATAAGCTGTGCTCGAGCATCATCCTTCTTTAACTCTGAATATCCACCTGTTATTTAAAAAAAAAAAAAAAAAAAAGTACAATCCTAAACTTACAGACTTCACAAATAAAAGTAAACAAAGCATTCAAGTTGCTGTAATTATTTGAAATGTTATGAAAAAAATCTGGTTATATGACAAATTAACTTATCTAATGTGATCAACTGGGGTCTACAAAGATACCAAAGACAGCATTAAGACAAAACTGAGCCGGCTAGAAAGAACAAGGTATCAGCACACTGTACCTTTTACTTTAATAATATATGTTCAACAAAATACCAAGGATACTTCAGTGTTAGCCAGCTAAACGACTGGTAAGAAATAAACAGAGCTCAAGAAATGGACAGTGGGTATGTGACTAGAAGCTATGGAAAAATAAGATGATCTGTTGCTTTTCTTCAAGGGAATAAGGTAGAGGGAACAGGAAACTGATGAGGAAGTAAGCTCTAGATCAGGGGTTAGCAAAGTACAGTTGAAAGGCCCAATCTGGGCCAGCGCCTGTATTTGTAAAAATTTACTGGAACATGACCACATACAATTCTTTATATTTTTTATATGGCTGTTTTGGAGCTACAATAGCGGTGTGGAGTACGGGCACTATACAATCCATAAAGCTTAAAATATTTACTATCTGGCCCTTCTCAGAAGAAGTTTGCTGACCCCTGCACTCTACACTAGAGGTGCCAAAGCAACAGACTGAAACCCCAAGGACAGAGACAAATGTCAGAAACCTGAACCAAAAAAAAAAAAAAAATCTATTCTTCATTAGTGAAGAAGAGAATTTTCATAGGAATATAGAACATAAAAGGTCGCAAAGAACTCGGCTGATAGGTGTGGGTGGATCTAAAGGTGTAAGAGGAATAACAGGATCAGATAAAAAACTGCATGGGCCAATTCTGGCTGGAGTCCGGGACACTGCAAATCACATAGCAGGAAAATAATGCGGAGGGTACCATTTCAGCAATGCTGGCTCATTCATCAATTAAAACGTGACAGAAAACAACAACAAATTAATTACTACTATGCAATGGTCTCTTAAGCTTCATGAAGACACTCAATGAAATACTTTTTATCACAAATATTACTCACATGACAATACAGTACTACTATTAACTCAAAAAGTACTTACTAGTGTTAGTATTGGCTAAGGGGTTAGGTTTTCTCTGAATGGCACGTGCTGTTCCCGTGTCCTCATTGATTTGCTGCATAGAATTAAAATCAATAGTATAAACTCGTCCCAGAGTGGACAAGCTTATCTCATCCTCACCGACCTGATGGGCTGCCTGAGAGCAAAGAGAGAGAAACCTTGAATATAAACATGGAGAAATTTATTAACTTAAGACACAGTGGGACCCTCCATAAATGCTAACTTACATATTTATTTCATCAGGTTTCACATGGTGAAGTAAAAGAGTATGGAAAATTTAATAGTGTGGACATGACAAAACCCATTCATTCAATAAATCATTTTTAATTAAACACAATTATACACGACAGGCCCTACAAAGTCCCCAGAGACATAAATACAGATAAATTCCTGATGAAGGATCCAGTCATGTAGAATCACTGACATGAGGAAGACACCGTTTGTATTAAAAAGGCTTTTAAGACATTGCTGATAGAAAAAATAAGTTATCTATAAAATCATAGTATCTAATTCTTAGGTTAAAATAGTATTTACATCATGGATTTTTAGCAGCCCACAAAATCTTGTTTAATCAAAATGATCCTACAAAATTATCCTTAGGTAAAAAGACTTTCCATTTAAATGACACACCCGGACCTAAGAGAGTAACCCCTAGGGTGTGCATGCGTGCACAGTACATAAATAAAATGACACACTTTGATTAACACTATTTGCTTGAGATAAGACAGCCAAAAGATGTGCTAGAATATAATAGTCCAGTCTGTGGAATTCCTACGTTAAATGAAAGACAGGACTCCTTAAGTGTTAGAGAGTAAGCTAACAGGGAAAATGCAATTAATAAGACAATGCTAAAAAGAAGGCAGCTTAATGTTAGAAACCATGGCCTGCTTACACACTAAGGTGAACAACACACATCAGACCCATCACACCTCACTTCCTCCTAAAAGCTGGCTCGGAACGTGGATACTTTTATAAGAACTTCTGATTTTATAATGTAAGTCAATGGTTTCAAAGTTGTTTTTCAAATATTCATTTTTAAAAACTAAGTGGTAAAAGACATCTTTAAAGAAGAATGTCTCTTCAAGTGTGATGCTCTAAAAAAAATTCAAATATCACAGATTGGAAAATATAGCAAGACTTAAAGCTATCTCCTATATTGAAAATATTAGTAAATGATACATGGTATTCCAAATAATGCAGTGACCTGCACTTCCTAATACAAGGCAATTTTCCTGACTTGAAATATTTCAAGGCATACTTAATATGGAAGTTAACAAAAACAATACAACCACACATAAAACCTTCACAGAAAAACACTAAATATTTTGGTGCATCTCCTTCCTTTTTACTATTGCTCTTTCTCTTATTTTGCTGAGTGACCCAAAGAGTCATAGAATTCTGAATATTGTGTTCGTTTTTCATATCCCACTTTATGTCATTAAAATTTATCCCATTAACATCTGGACTACATATGAGGCTAGCTGGTATCAAAACTTACTTAACCATTTCACCTAGACTTCGATACTAAAATTGTTCCCATGTTTTTGTTCTTAAAAGTGTGCTGAGAAACAGCTATTTGTATGTAAGTCTTTGCTTATGGGAGGCATCTTCTGGGTAGGAAACAGAAGGGACTTTGAAAACATATAGCCTGACTCCTCCAATGTTTCCTTTTAGAAATGAGGAAACTATGGAACAAAGAACTTAAATTACTTGCTCCAAGTCAATCGGGTAGTTAGCAGCAGAAGCAGGACTAGAACATCATGTTTTCTGACCTGAACAGAAATGAGGACCTTGTTCTCAGGAGACAAAATGAGAGAATCTTGAGTTAATTCAAAATTGAGCACATTTAAGTACACATATCCACCTCCCCACTCCATCCCTACGCCCACTCTCCGCCAAAATAGACATATTTAAACGGTACGATGAAACTACTACCTCAATGATCCGGCTGTCAATCCTGTTATAGGGATGCCAAAGGCCTCGGTCGTCACGCCACTGCCATATCGCGCCATCTGTGTTCTGCGCATTTCCCTTCTTCAGCATGGTATCAACTGCAAAAATGCCTTCTTTTGGTAAACATGGCATAAGTTCGCTGAAAACAAAAGTGCAATTATTTCATTAAGTAGCTTCCTGAACTATTAGTAAATGAAAGAGCTCTAAAGTAAAATACCCGCGAATAAGCCACTGTTGTTATTATTAGCCCAATCTTTACCAAATCAGAGATGTCAGTTCATATAGTTCTTGAGGACTTCGTGGAACAAGATCAATCTGTTCTTGACAGCTTCCATTAGCGGCACCGCACAGGAGAAAGTGAAGTGTCTCTGCAATGTCTGTAGAACCAATAACAGAAACCACAAACCCATGAAACTAGTTATATTACCTAATTTAAAAGACAATCATTCCCATGGGGGGAAAAACAATCAGAAGTATTTTCTTACAGTCAACTATACATGAATAAAAAGTAAAAAAATTTATTTTCTTATAAAGCAATATACTATAGGAATTAAAAAGCCAAATGAGCTCTAATGAAAACCTAAAAAGAAATTTATGAAAATTTTAAGAACTTCTTTCTTTAGGCTTCAGTCTGAGTCCTAGTTGGACATTTAAACAAAAATCCATGCCAGAGTATTCAGGAATTTTTTTATTTCGTTTTTGGTTTTGTGTTTGAAGAACACAGTGCTTTGTTCAAAAGTGCAGTCAACATACTTTTTTTTTGCATTTAAAAAAAAATTTTATTATGTTATGTTAATCACCATACATTACATCATTAGTTTTTGATGTAGTGATCCATGATTCATTGTTTGCGTATAACACCCAGTGCTCCAGGTAGAACGTGCCCTCTTTAATACCCATCACCAGGCTAACCTATCCTCCCACCCCCCTCCCCTCTAGAACCCTCAGTTTGTTTCTCAGAGTCCATAGTCTCTCATGGTTCATCTTTCCCTCCAATTTCCACCCCCGTCATTTTTACTTCCTACTATTTTCTTTTTAACATGTAATGTATTATTTGTTTCAGAGGTACAGGTCTGTGATTCAAAAGTCTTACACAATTCACAGTGCTCACCATAGCACATACCCTCCCCAATGTCTATCACCCAGCCACCCCATCCCTTCCACCCCCCACCACTCCAGCAATCCTCAGTTTGTTTCCTGAGATTTAAGTCAACATACATTTTAATCCCTGATTCAAATATATTTGTCTTTAATTTAAATGTACTGAAAATGGTTGGTCAACACAATAAAATGTAGAAATTACAAGCATCTGAAAATTACCATACTGTGGTCAGGAAGTAATTACCTTAAACACAAGCATGCCAACTTAATACAAAGGTCATTAACATATTCTCTACCCTAAGTTTCTAATGCCAGAAGACATCAATTTATAGAGGAATCTGTATGAAAACCAGCCTGATGCAAGAACACTGTGACATGAGGAAGTTCCCATTATCCACAGGTTTAGTCATTCAAATAACTAAAAGTACAGATGGGGCTGGGTTCCTGCAAATACTGTACATTTGCAAAATATAAACATTTTGTTGAAGTGTTTTGATAATAATCATTAAGTTCTGTTATCGAGGAAAGTATTAACTATTGATTTGGGCAAAAGTGTGGACAGTTAATTTACTGCCCCACATAAATTTCACTGACAGTAATTAAAAATATTTTAAATTTCTTGAAAAAGTACAGTTTTGCCAACTTTCTTAAGAAATGTGAATACATGGCAATGTTACAAGGATTCTTTTAAGTTTTTTTTTTTTTTTTTTAAAGAGATCAGAGGGTGACAACATGTTTCCTTTGTGTTACTGCTGAACAAAGAAAATCTAAGTCTAGTGGCCTCCAAGTGACAAATGTATGGCAAACTTCATGGAGTAAGCAAAGGGGAAAATAGTCATCATAAGGAAAAAAAGAAAAAGAAAAGGAAAAAAATCCAAAATAATAAAGCAAAACAAAAGTCAGTGAACAATTTCCCAGACTCTTTTTTAGAGAAATGCTGTGCCAGGCGGTAACAAGAAAAAATCTGTACTCAACCTTCGGGAGATGGTCGGCATGGCAAAATTCAAAGGGCTCCTAGGGATTTTAATAAGCAACATGCACTGCAACTACTCAAGACACAAAGTTAAACCTTTCCCCAACTTCTCACTTTGTTCATGACATAAGCTGTGCAATTTTCTCTGGAATACCAAGTTTAGGAGTGATTCAGTGCTTTAAGAGGTAGCTTTTCAATAAAACATCTCAACAACACGACTTTCCTGCAAAATGTTGGGCCAATGTTGTAATTCACAAGAAACGTGACTAAATATAAAGAATATAACATTCTTTGAAATATTTTATTCTGAGACAGTGATAGCAGAGGCTGTTTTGTCACTGAATACCATCACTAACGCCCCCACGGTGATATCCCCAGAGATAAGAATGAAAAATACAAAATTACCCATGCGTTCCTATATGCATTCCATATAAATGTGATCAACACTCTAGCTGCAATAATCCTAACAAAAAGGTGTGTTTTATGAAGCCCACTGTCTTCTGACATTACCTTGCAAAAGCTACGGTTTATGAGAGAACTGCAACAGCAGTGTAGCAGTGCCGTAAAACTGTATGGATGGTAAGGTTGAGAAGGGCTTGGGAAATACAAAGGCAGCAAAGATGAGAGAAATTCATCCGTGCAAATAAGTTTCAAACTTCTGAGGGATGAAAAGCACTGTGGAATCAGATAAACTGCTGGAAAAATTCTAGAACGGGCAGAACGGACTACCGAGGAGCAGAAGGCAGGCCGCTACTGGTAACACAGAACTCCGAATTCTCCTGATGAAGCATCACTACGTAACTGCTATTGGAGAGAAGGCACTATCTTGCATTTTTAGCCCTAGAACCACCAAGGATAAAATTTTAATATACTAGAGACGTTATGAATTGCACAGAAAGCACTACCATGCTGTCCCCACACAAATTTGTCATACATCAACAGTTTATTTCCTCTACTCTCCAGCATCTATGCTATTAGCAAGCTCCTCTACTTGCCTATGTTGATTTTATCAATAAACACTTCTGAAAAACCCACTTCTCTTGCCTGAAGTAGGATAACAAGTGGCACTTACTTTGCTTCATAAGTTGGACAGCTAAAGTTGGGCAGTTGGAACACATCAGAGAAAACATGCGAACCACCATAATGAACATCCCAGAACTTAAAATGGGTGGAGTCACTACCAATAGCTGTTGAACATTTGTAAGCAGATCTTTAGAGGCAACCTGCTGGAGTAAATTCTTCACAAACAGAAGAGAAAAGATACTGTTATATCGTGATTCAACAATTTAACAATTTCATGAAAATACCACCAAAGATTAAATGTTTACCTCCTCATGTTGGAAGTTGTCCACTAGACGTGCAAAACAAAGGCAAGTGCTTTCGACTGACTTTTTGTCCTATTTTTTATAGAAGGAATAAAGTTTATTAATATAAAATATATCACTGTCTTACATCACTACCTAATTTTCTTCCTAACCCCAAACTGCTCAAGGCGGGCTCAGTTACATGTGAGCCTTGAAAATATCCAATGAGCCTAAGCAAGGTACAATCAGTAACCATCATGATTTCAAAGCAAACAAAATCATACTGAGAGAACTTCTCTCCTCTGTTAAGACCCCAATAAATAAGAGTAAATATACAGAAAAGAAACAACTTTTATGCTTCTGTAATTTCAATACTTAACCACAAATTAAAATAAACATCATTCTAAAAAAGCATTCCCATTTTTAAAACATGCATACACTAAAAAGTTGGAAACAGTTCAGTATATATATGTGTGTGTGAACCAGAGGCTTACTGATGTGAGAAACTAGGTGTCAATTTGCTAAATTCACTATGAAAACAATGTAGAAATACTATTACAGTGGCCTCGTTGAGAAAACATATGAAATATCCTTATAAAAATGGAAAGAACAATTTAACAGCTTAGTAAGTCTTTTCATAGTGTTCTTTTTTTCCTAATTGATAAATGGGTTTCTGATATAAAAACCAGACTGGCTTATACAAAATTGAGAATAATTCTGGTATCATAAAAGCCCTATACCTTCACTATCAGTACTTAAGTCTAGAAAGGGTGCTACAAATAATAACATGCCCAACAATTTAACTTTGCTGATTCTCATGTTTTTTTCCAAAATAAGGTACTGAAATCACACCTAAATAGAGAATGTATTTCTAACCCCGATAAGCACAGGTTATCTCAGCCTACCAAGTTTTTTTTATTTGAAAGAGTGCGCGTGCACATGAGAGGAGGGAAGAGCAGAGGGAGAGGCAGAAGCAGACTCCACTGAGCAGGGAGCCCAACACAGGACCCTAAGATCATGACCCAAGCCAAAAGGCAGACACTTAACCGACTAAGCCACCCAGGCACCCCTCAGCCCACTAAGTTTTTAAAATTAAATAAGCAAACAGGGGCGCCTGGGTGGCTCAGTCGGTTAAGCATCTGCCTTCAGCTCGGGTCATGATCCTGGGGTCCTGCGATCCAACCTCGCATCGGGCTCCCTGCTCAGCGGGAAGCCTGCTTCTCCCTCTCCCACTCCCCCCACTTGTGTTCCTTCTCTCACTTTGTCTCTATCAAATAAATCTTAAAAAAAAAAATTGTTTTTTAAATAAGCAAACAATGAATGGCACAACTTGTATCTTGATCATCTTAGAAGCAAAACATTTCAGAGTGATTCAATCTTTTTTATAGCTCTCTTAAGTAAATCTCTATATAACGTATTCTCTGTACCAAATTTTCTGAAGAAGATTTTAAACACACTTTGCAAAGGTGACTTGGGAGGGGAGTCCAATTTCTAGGGATGCCTGGGGGGCTCAGATGGTTAAGCACCCAACTCTTGATTTCAGCTCTGGTCACAATCTCAGGGTCATGAGATGGAACCCCGCACCGGGCTCCGTGCTCAGCTTGAAGTCCACCTGAGATTCTCTCTCTCTCCCTCTGCCTCTATCCCTCCCCCCACTCGCTTGTGCACTCTCTCTCTCTCTCAAAATAAAATCTTCAAGAGTCCGATTTCTAAAAATCTTTTTTAGCAATAACATTTTAAGACATTAATTTATATTAAAAGAAAATTCAATTTCTCTACAATGAGGCTTAAGCTTAACTCATTGTCCTCCACGCCAGATTCTGTAAGCCCTGCTTCTCGTCCTCCATCACCTGGTGTGCCAATTCCATCTCCTAAATAACTGCTCCTGATCTTCTCCAACTTCACAGTCAGTTTGCAGTGTCATCTCACCTCTGATCTTAGCCCACATCCTCCTAGTCTTTCCTGCAGAACCCAATACCTTAGAGGAGAGATGATCGCCCCAAAAGGAAATTCTGATCATATCACATAGTAAACACTCAATGTTTGCTGAAATAACAAACTCATCCCTTAACATCAAAATACATGAAGATATCAAACATATGACATGCTGTCAGTTGGATAAATCCATCAAATTGTATAAAATAACCTAGTATGGTACACGACTGGAAAACACGGGAAAAAAAAAACCAAACCAAAACATGAATCAGAATATTTCCAATTTATATATCCAGTTGGAAGATTTAAAACCCTAGATGAAACTGGCATTTAAAAAAACATAGTAAAAATGTTTTACGGCACATAAAATAGGTTCATGTTTTACCTGATGGGTTAGCCTTTGGGTAAGCAATGGGAGGGAATCTGCCACAAAATGAAATTCATCTGGCGTGATACTCTGGCAGCAATTGGCTGCAATTGCTAGTGCATTTCTTTGGGCATTTATGCTGAAGAATTCTAGATACAGCAAGCAGTCTGCCAAACCACCCTAAAATATAGAAAACTGTTAAAGTGAAGAAATACCCTCTAACAGCAATTAAAAAAAAAAAAAAAACAGTCTAGCGCCATCACTTTGGAAACCGCACATGTACCTTACAGATACTGCAGGTGAGGGGCTAGGACAAATGTGGATCTAAAATCCAACCTGAAATGAAACCGAGTCCTGCAGCAGCAGCACTTACCGCCTGTAGAATGGCTTTACTGTGTCTTCGGGACAACATCTCCAAGGCAGTCAGGGCCTGCTCCGCCACATCGATACACTGAATAACCTGCAGCTGAGGACAGAGAAATAGGTAACTTAAGGCCATCATTCAAGTGCCTTTCCAGGCGCTTACCTTCTACACGAATAAACACAGTATTTTCTCTCATTTCCATCAATCTATACACTGCCTCTAACATGAAACCCACCATAGGAAAGCAGTGATTTAGGAGCTTAAGCTATAACGGTCAATATAGTTTCCTTCCAACTACTTTGTTCTGTTTTAAGACAGAAAAATAGATTTTATATAAAGAATAAACTAAATCCAATTAGGTAACTTTCAATCTTTCTATTTATAATAAATGGGTTGTTTTATATAACAAATTTTAAAAGTTCAAGTTTTACACTTACACCATATTCCAAGGTTATCGGATAAGGCCAATTTTATTATACATTAAAAAGAAAAAGGCCCTTAAAACAGACCAAAAACAACCTACCACAGACCATATGAAAAAATTTTCTTTCTCCACTGACTCACTTTATGACCTTGAACAAGGCACTTTGTCTCAGCCTTCTCAGCTGTAAAATGAGGGTATAAATAGCTATCAACTTCACTGGGATATTTTCTAGAAATAATGAGATTATTTTAATCAAGTGCTTTAAGTTCTTCTCTGAAAGATTTTATATTAGTGTGGTAAATGTCATCATTAAAAATCATAAAACTGAAATGATTCTATAAATGCTTTATTAGCATCAACTTTAAACTACTGGTCTGCTAAACACAAAGTATTTTTCTGGAATCTTGGCTAAAAAATATACTTTGACTAGATAATGAATAAAAAGTCTTTTAAGGTGGCCTTACAATTCGATGTACTACTTTAGAATTCAGAAGTCCAGAGTCTTCAACTTGATTCCCCTAGGCCTGCTTTCGAACAAGCTGAGCAAAAGCAGGATTACCTTTTCTAAAAAGACGGGAATTGCATCTACTACAACAGCAGATGATCGAGGAAGTGCTTCCATCATGTATGTTAAGGCTCGACAAGCATGGTTCATCTAGAAAATAAGGCAGCACTTTTACTCAATAATAACTCAAAATTTAAGTTTAAAAAAAAAAATACACCACATACTTACAATATCGAAATTATGCTCCATCTGAAGTAATGTTATCTGTTAAAAAAAAAAGATAACTATTAGAAGCTATCTCTACCCTTAGAGAAGTCCTAGAGGAACGGTTTCTTCCTCTGTGTCAACTGAAATGGAAAGTATTAGTCAAGACCTTATTGTTACAAAAATAGTATCAAGTTAAAACCTAGCACACATACAAAAGAAACGATTATATATTAAGGATGGCATGATGCTCTGTCTTGGGAACTTTACTAGATAATCATCACCTCTCAACATCCAGGTCAGAAACAAAGCCTTCCTGTTGCTTACAAACAACTGTTCTGGTGCCTGTAGCCCTCTCTCAGATGCCCGTTTAACAGACATCAATAAATACCTTCATACCTAAAGAAACAGACCAGCAATGCCCTGGCATTTGTTACCAACTGTCCGGACAGACTCAAGACCACTGCTTCAACTCCTGTGAATAAGCTTCTCTACAAGGTGAGCTAAACACCATTTAACACAGCTGTAAACTTCAAACACATTATTGATCACATCAGAAACTAATTATGCACTAATTAAAACCCAAATTAATATTATTGTGCAAATGCATGAGTGAGTCTAAATACTGATTTTAGTTTCTCTTGTGGACAAGACCTTAAGCAGATTTCAGCCATGTTTTTCAAAGGCAGAAATTCAAAACTGCTAGGGATATATATGTACTCCATCCTCCTGAAGCAGTCAAAGCTACCAAAGAAATTTCCTATTTGGGGAAGCAATCATTCACTGTCTTCTAGTTCAATGGAAAATTTTAAATGCACTGAATTTAAGCTATAAAGTACCCTTCAAATAAATGTATTTAACAACGAACATCAGATATTCTAATACAATATTCACTTAATAGGAGTGCCTTCCTGGGATGCCTGGGTGGCTCAGTCGTTAAGTGTCTGCCTTCGGCTCAGGTCATGATCCCAGGTCCTGGGATCGAGCCATGCATCGGGCTCCTCGCTCAGACGGGAGCCTGCTTCTCCCTCTCCCATTCCCCCTGCTTGTGTTCCCTCTCTTGCTGTGTCTGTCAAATAAATAAATAAAATCTTAAAAAAAATAAATAAATAAGAGTGCCTTCTCAGCTCTGAATTATGCTGGTTAAAGTATATCTACATACTCAAGGTCCTGATCACTTTTTTTTGTTAGAACACACACACACTCCCCATTTTGGGGTTCAATGGAATTCAAATCACCTACAACCAGTCATTTGAAACACCCACTGTAGATTGAAAGGGGTTGTCACATTAACAGGAAAAGTAACAAGTTCTCCAATTCTGAAGATGGAATGAACATTATAAGACCATGTTTGGGAAGAACTGCTTTAATTGATTCCTTTTCAACAAAAATTACTATGGTCACACAAGTGAATGGTGACGGACGGATATATATTCACAATATTCAATTTTGATAGAAGATAAATCTGGCCAATTCATTAACAACAGTCAGTATTAATAGCAGGAGCTGACTTCCAGAAGGTCTATTAAGCACTTAAATCTAATAAACACCCAGCAAATTAAGTAAATTAGATTATGTGTCAACATTTGTGCTTAGATTTAACAGCATCTTTATTCAACTAATAAAAACCACATTTTATATAGTATAAACCTAGTTCTTTTTATTTTTTTAAAGATTTTATTTATTTATTTGGCAGAGAGAGACACAGCAAGAGAGGGAACACAAGCAAGGGAAGTGGGAGAGTTGGAGAAGCAGGCTTCCCGCTGAGCAGGGAGCCCGATGTGGGGCTCAATCCCAGGGCCCTGGGATCACGACCTGAGCTGAAGGCAGACGCTTAACAACTGAGCCACCCAGGCACCCCCCTTTGTTATTATTTTTTAATAAACAATAACATCAACAAAACAGTTTAATTCAGGAAACAAAACCAGCTCCTGGGGAAATGGGGAGGGGGAGCATGAATAGTGATATAGGCAAAATATAAAAACACAAAAACAAATACTACTTTCATTAAACATTCAGAAATCAACATGCCAGCCCTCATTAGAGTGGAACTGGTAATAGTTAAATGCCAGTTCTCACTATCCAGGTCTGCATGGCAGAAAGTGAAGAAAGTGGTCCATCCTTCTCATCCCTTGCCAGACCTGAGCTATCCAACAAGAAGAGACAAAAGAAAGACTATGTCACCTTGTGTTTCAATGACCTTCATTCAACCGTCTCCACAATTTGATAGTGAGATCAACTGAGACAATCTGATAAATCAACCGTATTTGTCAACTTTATTTGCTATGTAAACAAAGACGTAACATGATACTTGGTTTTAATTTCCAATATACTCACAGCATGCTCTGAGTATATTCATGATGTTTATGTTAGTCTTTTGTTAGTGTTTCACTCAGACTTAAATTTTAATTTTCAACTATAGCCGATCTCTTTCATCTTGAACTAAGACAACTACCAAGTGTTATTTAAGACTCACTGTGCTCAGGGGCCTACATTTAGTAGTGGCAATTTCTGTTCCCGTTGTTTTCCCATTAAAAAGCTTAAGCAATTAAGATGTTAGTAAGTTCTAAACATCAAGTCCCGACTGTGTTGAAAACTCACTAAAAGGTTTTGTTTCTTTTTATTTTTACTGAACGTAAAACCTAAGCTGGACGGATCCACGTGCTATTCTCACTCGAAGGTGCTGCTGTCGCACCCAATTACCAAACACAAAACCTCTGTGGCCCACAAAGACAACCCACAAGTGAGCTGCTTATTACTGGCCATGTATCACCAGTTTAAAAGAGAAAGCATCAAAGTTTAGGTATCACCTGATGGGGCAAACAACTTAAAATTTAGAACCAGTCATTTTAAGTATCAAGAAATAGTAGTTTTAGAAGTCGTTTAGAAAATTTACGAATGCATCATTAGCAATCACTGACAAGATCTAGAAGCATGAAGTAAAAGCACGAAGCCACACTCTACTATCTTTTAGTTCAAACCGTGTAAATAATAATCATCCTTTGGCAGCATTCATAGAACGGAGGTAAAATGAGGGGCAAACTCTCTTACCAAAGCTGGAACGACACTCTTGACAGGAAACCCTCCCAGCGTCTCCTCATTTCCCATAACCAATAACTGACACATTTCAATAACTGCCTGGAGTTGCTGACTTTCATCACTTGCTTGTAGTCCTTGCAGAAGCTGCTGGGCCTTGGAGCCTTCAGAGGAAGGGAAAAAAATCATTACTTTTAAACATTTAAGGAAATTATTAGTAGGCCTAAGCTGTGACTCTACCTGGTAGCTGGCTGCTCATCTTTCCATCCCAGTGAAAGGCTAGGTCTGTATCAGGGTTAAGACAGGCTGCTGATAATTGAAGACACAATTAAATTGGTTGAATTTATCCTACCTTACAGTGAACTCACAGTATTTATAGATTTTTGTCTTTTACTTTTTTAAAATGATACAACTGATTGGCTCTTACTAGCAAAAAGAAAAAAATATCCGTAAGACTAACATGAATTTTTACCTCTGACGGAATTACTTTTACATACAGACTGAGCAAAAGCTTTCTGCAGGAATAACAACCTGTTAAACAGTGATGCCCAGTCTTCAATGAAAATCCACATCCTCCTGAAGTCCTGCTCAGAATAAATGGAATCCTGGTAACAGTGGGAGGGCAAGAAAATAAAGGCAAACAGAGCAATGTACCTAACAGAAGAGAATGAAGTATTTCTAAAAACAGCAAAAGACTGGCCTTTTCACCTCCTCTCATTCCCTGTGCAGATGACTTCCACTTTTAAGGCTCAAATCCAATGCCCAAAGAACTGAAAAACGCTAAGATTCAACTCCCACAGGGAAAGACTGTGGTCAGTGAGCTGGATAACATACTCAAAAATAAACTCCACAAAGGTGTTCCAAATTTTCATGCACACCTTCCTACTTGAAACCATGATTAACTCAATTAACACTTACCGAATTATAGCCAATGCCACTTTTAAGCCCTTCCTCTTCCTACACCTTCTCAGATTCCTGTCTGCGTATGGGATTTGTCCACTTCCATGTCATTAGTGAAATAGCTTAGAAATGCCAAATATTTAGAAACTGTCAATGAATGTGGAATTCATATGAAAACCAAGGTGTTTTTATTTCAATTAAGTTACAGTGATCTTCCTGGAAGGCATAGCCTTTCAAAAGGGACACACGGTGATCCTTGCATTACAAGATCTATTTTTTCTCTGCTATGTAAGACTGGCTAATGAATTGCATATAACTATTACTGCCTACCTACCTTTACCGTAACTAAGAGTAAACTCAAAAATATATTGCAAAAAGTCAAGTTTTCAGATGGCTGCCGTCTTTATAATTTTCAAGTTAAATAGGAGTTCCACTTAGAGGAGGCCTATCATTTTTGCGTTGAAATGTGAAAGGCAAAACAAATGAAGGGAAAGTAAACTCTTGAAAACAGAAGAATCCTCGGTTGCTTCTAGATTTGCTTTTAAATGATGAAATAGTTCATGTATTCAACTAGCACAACCACCCAAAATAGGAAAAACTAACACATCCACGGGATGTTTTATAAACATGGAAGCTGGCAATTAAAGGACAGAGATCACGTTAGCATAATCAAAAGATACCACTGAACCTTAAACCAAACTGAAAATGACAATAACAAGCAAAAGCCATAATTTATGCTCTGATCAGTCAATTTTGGTTTTAGAGTCACTTATACTCTTAAAAATTACTAAGGAGCCCCAAAGCACCTTTGTCTATGTGACTTATATCTAACTTATATTTATAAATGCATCTAGGATTAAGAGAGAAAAACTAAATACTCGTTGATTAATTCATTACATATTAATATAAACAAAGTTTTGTGAAAACCACCATATTTTCTAAAACAAAAAAATTCACGTGATGAGCACCGTTGTAACTTTTTTGTTGCAAATCGTTTAAATGTCAGGCTTTATTAAAGAAAAACAGCAGTATGACCACCTCTGCATCTATTCTCAATTTGTGGCAATATTATTTGAGATGAAGAATGCGGAAAACATGGGCCTAGCTTTTTCACAAAAACTATTAAGAAGACATACACTTACTGGTAAAGACAGTAAAATTAATAACTTTGTTTAACAAGGGCATCCTTACATAAAAATGGAATTTTTTTTTTTAAGATTTTATTTATTTATTTGACAGAGAGAGACACAGTGAGAGAGGGAACACAAGCAGGGGGAGTGAGAGAGGAAGCAGGCTTCCTGCCGAGCAGGGAGCCCGACGCGGGGCTCGATCCCAGCACCCTGGGATCATGACCTGAGCCGAAGGCAGATGCTTAACGACTGAGCCACAGTGGAATTATTTTTAGTAGGAGCATTTGGCATTTAAGAATACAATGACTGCTAATGCTGTTTGGAACCACTGCTTTGATTCTTTCAATAACGTAACAACAGTTTTTACCCACCACAGCTTTTGCAACATCAACAAAATTCAAACAACAATGTAGAAAAGGAAAAACTTTACCAATCATTTAGAGTTTTGACCAATGGATTCAATGTTAGGGTCTCAGGAACCCCAAGCAAGCCACAGACCACACTTTGAGAAGCACTATCACAGATCAAGGGTTGGAAGGCAAACATTTGCTATAAAGAACCAGACAGTAACTATTTTGGGCTTTGCAAGCCACAGGGTCTCTGTTGCAACTATTCAACCCTAGCACAAAAGCAGAACAGACACTACATAACAGATAAGCATGGCTGTGTACCAATAAAACTTTATTTATGAACACAATTTGAATTTCATTTAATTTTCACATCTCACAAAATACTATTTTTAAATTTTTTTCAGCCATTTAAAAATATAAAAATCATGCTTAGTTCACAGGCTCTATAAAACCGAGCAGGAGGCTGAATCTGGCCCTTGGGCAGGAGTTTGCCAACTGCTGATACGAACGGGAGAGAGAACCCATAGCACTTCAGAAGGAGTCACAGGAAGATGATGTTTCTGACTGAACTGGTCCCAACGGACATCTGCCCAGTTCTGGAGCTGTGAAGAGGGCTGGAGCTGAATCAGAAGTTTTGGTAAGACAGAACAAAAGCTTATGAAGTCTCATGGTGCTCAGAAGACAAAGGCCCTACAGAGGGAGGAGGCCTGCCTCAAACACACACAGCTAGTCGGTTCTACCCCCAGGACATCTGTGACATTTTGGAAACTGCATAATGAATAAAGTCCAAGTAGACAAAGACTTGCAAGGTTCTCAATCAAAACCCTAGGAGGATCACAACATACAAACAGGGATGAGCCACAGGTGAGAGGAGTCACACAAAAACTGCAATTCTGGTCAAAACAAGCTAAAGCCCCGACTAACACAAAATGATCAGCTTCTAACCCTTTATATGTCAATACAGAAAAGGGAGAAATAATGTTACGGTACATAACATTATTGAGTCTCTTCAGTTCTTTTATACAAAATGTCCAGCACATAAACAACTACTAGATATATGAAGAAACAGGAAAATGTGACTAATAAGAGAGAGGGGCGCCTGGGTGGCTGAGTCAGTTAAATATCTGTCTCTTGGTTTCGGCTCAGGTCATAATCTCAGGGTCGTGAGATCAAGGCCCGCATGGCTACACACTCAGCGTGGAGTCTGCTTGAGGATTTCCTTCCCTCTCCCTCTGCCCCTGGCCTGCTTGCATGCTCTGTCTCTAAAATAAATAAATCTTTAAAAAAAAAGGGGGGGGGAGAAGAAGGGAGGGGGGAACAGAAGCAGACCACCACCATTAGAATTATAAGACTATTTTATAACAATGATTAATAAACAGTGAATATAACCTAAGATGGACAAAATAGGTAAGTATGTAAAGAAATTCAACAGAAAACTGGAATCTACAAAACAAAACCAAGTAACTGTCCAGAACTGGAAAACATAATATCTGAAATGGTGGGTTTATGAAGAGATTAAAGATGACAGTGGAAAAAAAGAATCAGTGAATCTGAAAACTGTCCAACAGAAAGCTTTCAAACTGGACAAAGAGAAAAAAATAAAATAGAGCCAGAGAAATATGCTGGATGAAGCCCAAAGTTTGAAGACGTACGATCTTGATATTCCTGGAAGGAAAAGAAGAATACCTGAAGAAATAAGGAGAAAAGAGAAGTAGTATTTCATGAGATAATGGCAAAGTATTTTCCAAAGCTGATGAAAGGTATCAAACTCAAAGATTCAGGGCGCCTGGGTGGCTCAGTTGGTTAGGCGACTGCCTTCGGCTCAGGTCATGATCCTGGAGTCCCGGGATCGAGTCCCACGTCAGGCTCCCTGCTCAGCAGGGAGTCTGCTTCTGACCCTCCTCCCTCTCATGCTCTCTGTCTCTCATTCTCTCTCTCGCAAATAAATTAAAAAAAAAAAAAAAAAAAACTCAAAGATTCAAATGGTCAGTGAAACCTAAGCAAATGAAAAATAAGGCCTAATTAGGCCTAATATAGTAAATTAAAAATATTTTGAAAAAGCAAATCTTTTTTTTGACAGAGACTATGAGTCTCCATGCTGAGCACAAAGCAGAGCCCAATGAAGGCCTCGATCTCATGACCCTGATATCATGACCTGCGGGTCGAAATTAAGAGTCGGATGCTTAGCCCACTGAGCCAGCCAGGCGCCCCCAAAAAGCAAATCTTGTAAGAAGCCAGAGGAAAAAAGACATTGCCTTGAAAGGGTACCAGTAAGACTTTTAAACAGAAGACATGCAAAGTGCTAAAATGAGAATTTTATAGCTGGGGAAAATAGCATCTCAAAATTAAGGCAAATCAAGGACTTCTCAAAAGCAGAGAAAAATCATTACTAGCACCACTCATTCACTACATGGAAAAAAAAAGTTCTTCTAAAGAGAAGTGAAACAACTCTGATTAGAAGAGAGAAACTGCAGGAAGGAATTAAGAGCACTGAAAACAGGATGTGTATGTGGACAAAGGAATATGGATAATCTAAAACAACAATTAGGTCCTATTGTGTTTATAACACATGTATACGTAAAACAAATTAAAACAATAGTATAAAGGATGGCAGAAGGTAAAAAGAGTGAAACTATTATACAGTTCTTATACTGATCAGGATGTGATAAAGTATTAATATAAGGTAAGCTATAATAAACCAAGGACATGCATTAAAATCTCTACAGTAACCACTAACAGACATCTTACAGGGGTATAAAACTAAAAAGTTAGAAGACAAAAATG